CGCGCGCTGGCCCCGCCCACGTGCTGGCTGCCGCGCACGCGCCACGCTGGTCCGGGCTCGCGCCAGCGTTTCGCACACTTGCGTTAACTGGGGAGCGTGCATCTGTTGTAGTGTGTCAAGAAGCCAGCCTCCAGTCCGTACAAATTGAATTTAAGAAAATTTATTCAGAGGAAGAAAAATGATTCCACCTGTGTAGGTAGGAAAATACCAGTCTAGACTAGTGGGAACTGGGGACTTTGCACTGCCATCGCGCTCATTCAAACCCCTCATAGCGACCCTTTATAAAGTTTCTGAGACTGCAGACAGCCTCATCTTTAGCCCACAAAGTAGCTGGTGGGTTTGAAGCACTGACCTTGCAGCCAGAAGACCAACGCCTAACCTACAGCACCATAGGGGCTCCCGAAACTCACACCACCCTCCCCTCCACACACACACACACACACACACACACACACACACAGAAAACAAACCTCACTGCCATCAAGTGGATGTTGGCTCATCACGATCCTACCGGACAGGGTAGAACTGCTCCTGTGGATTTCTGAGACCGTAGCTCTATGGGAGTAGAAAGCCTCCCCTTTCTCCAGCAAATGGGCTGGTAGTTTACAAACTAATTCGGACCTTGCAGTTAGCAACCTAACTAGCTCATCATCGCTACCCACAAGCATCAAGTCGATTCCAGCGCATAGTGACCCTGTAGAGCGTTTCTAAGGCTATAAATTTCCAGAATCAAGAAACCTCATCTTTACACACATACACACCGCAGGGATGACCGGTGGGTTTCGACTGCTGAACTTTCTGTTAGCAGTTAAATGCTTAGCCAATAGCATCACCAAGGCTCCTAACAGATACAGGTCATGAAGAAAAGAGTAGAACGCAGTTGTTTAGTTACATTTAGGTCGCAGTCTCAGGGAGGATGGGTGAAGGGTAGGGAAAGGTGGGGCTACAGATACCATAATCAAATGGTCAGAATGCGTAGAATGTAGTGTTCAGAATAGGTCATAAAAACATTGGCAGGGGTGGAAGACGTTCTTTAAGGCTGGAACTGATCATAAGAATTAGCATCGTGGGAACCGATTACAAGGAACTATATGTGACCTCCTCCCTGGGGGACAGATAACAGAAAAGTGGGTGAAGGGAGACGTCGGATGGGGCAATATATGACAAAATAATAATTTATAAATTATCAGGGGCTCATGAGGGAGGTGGGAGCAGGGAGGGAGGGGAAAAATGAGGACCTGATGCCAG